AAACTAGCTGAGGAACTGGACTTCCTTAAGTCCGTTTTTATAAAGAACGGGTACCCCAGCGATCTATTGAAGGAACTCATGAGCGCAAGGCTGCATAAAAAGGAAAAACGCCTTGGCCCGGACAAAATGTCCCACGTATCTTTCTCTCCCCTGGAAAGGTAATCTCTCATTATCCATGAGTCGCGTGGTACGGAACATTGTACAGCAAACTTACTACACGGTACATTTTGTACCCGTTTTCACAACTGTACGTGCGTTAACGGTGAGGAAGGATGTCCTACCAACCCAACTTGCATCTAAATTGGTATACCAATTTGAGTGCCGACAATGCGGTAGTCGGTACGTTGGTAGGACTCTTCAACATCTGAACGCACGTATCAAGCAGCACGTTCCCACTGCATATGCTGACTGGCTCGGCACGGGCACTGAGGCCACAACACAATGCACCATAACAACACAAGATAACACACCACAACAACATTCAGCTCAAGACCAAAGTGGACGCTGTGATGAGGTAATGCCCTCATCGCCGTCTTTGCCGTTGCCTCCCCTAGAACCGCCACCTACATCTATCATCGGCGGTGTTGGGGCTGAGTCTGTGGTGTCGGTGGCACGTGCATATATGGATGAGACAAGCACTGAACGTGAACAACGAGAAAGAAGGCTGAAGGGAACGGAATTCAACAAAGAAAGTAACACAATCAACATTCAAAGACCTAGACGATCAACGGCTAATTATTCAATGAATTATTACAGTGCTGGAGATCAAGCACCGGCGAGGAGAATGGGAACACAAGATTTAACAACAACAACAACAACAACAACAACAATGGTAACAATTTACCATCAAGATCAAAGGAGGAGTCAACGAACAGAGGTTAAACAACATGAAGCGAGCCTGGGACCGATCGGTGTTGATGAAGTGAGTGACACGGAGGACGACACTGAGGACGAGTTGGGAGATGAGATGGAGGATGAGGTTGCGGTTGTTGGAGACGAGGAATCAGATGGTGATTGTGATCGTAAGAAGTCGGCCGTTTTTCTTCACTTGTTGTCTCACCCTAAGTGGCTGCAGGTGTATGATGATTTTAGTTTTTCTGTTCTTTGTCGTGCACGGTATGCTAGTCAGTTGAAAGTACTTGAGGCTGTTTGTATTCGTTTGCATAAGCCTGATCTTTGTAAGCAGAAGAAACATGTAATAATAATAATAATAATGACAGTTCGCATTTCACTCATTGCATGAGGTCAACGCATCTGTTAACAATTTCGAGCCAAGCAGCTCTATCAGAAGCAGATTGCACAGCATCCAGAAGCGACAGATTAATGCATTGTAAGTCTTTCTTGACAACGTCGATCCATCTCAGACGTGGCCGTCCTCGGGGTCGTCGTATGTCTGTTGTGTTGATCGACATTAGGAGGGCTTGGAAAGAGGACGATTCTTCGCCTTCCCTCACTACATGGCCGAACCACAGCAGTCTCCGTTGCCTGCAGACTTGGGATAGTGGGGTCTGAAGAAACATGTAGTTGCGTTAAAATTGTTTTCGTAGGTGCACAGCATGATTGTTTGTCTCACTACACAGTTTTAGCGTTATAATTATTAGTTTCTCACCCGCCGTTGCACTTAGCTCTCACTTCACTTCTATTGTCTCACCTTCCCTCATTCTATTTTGGCACTGTATTTTGTTCTCGTAACACATCATTGAATGTATATTAATCATTGTTCAGCATGGTTACTCTTCAGTCACGACTTTCCACTGATGAATGTGACAAGAAAATTAATTCTGGTAAACTTTCATGACTTCGTTGTAGTGTGGCGATGACTGCAGAATTTGTTCCCACCGCTAGGCGCTGCATCTGCCGCTAGGGTTTATCGGGTGTTAGCGGCCGTCGTGAGTTCCCTTCAGGAACGGATACGATAATTTCCTTTTTTTATTTTTTTTTATTGCTATTTTAAAATTGTAAAAGAGAAAAGGACATATGGATACGAGTTTAGAGTAACTCTCCATCACTGTAACATGATACTATATACAGTCAGAAAGTGCAATAACTAGGCACAAAACTGACAGAGTACTGAGACATTCGACGTCCTGACACCTAACTTTAACACATCTTCGTAGCGCTAACCGACAGCCTTCCAACTTGGAAGGTTCAAGGTTATGGAAAGACCAAAGAGGGGAAGGCAAGCGCAACGAAAACGAGCAAAAGCTACAGTCCCAACGGAACAAAGAATGTCGGAGAGTGGAGAGTTACTCTAAACTCGTATCCATATGTCCTTTTCTCTTTTACATTTATTTATGGCTCAACATCCGAGTTTCATAATTATTTTAAAATTGTTTCATTTTAATTGTTTATACATGTACATGGTTACCGGTTATGAGTGCACAATTGATATTTTTCATTGCTATTTTACAGTAGGCCTTGACGGATTATGCTAGCATAATTTTTCGCATAATTCCTACCAAAATCGAATCATCGCATAATTCGAGGCAAATTGCATACGAATCGCATAAAATTGTAATAATCCGCCTGTTCGCATCAAATTCCATACAGTTGTACATGTTCTACAAGTACAAGTAGATGCACAAGGAAGTTGTAGGTTTCTCCCTTGATAACATGTCCAGTCCACTACAATCAGTGATGGTCGTAGCTAGGTCGGACGGTGCGTTGACCCCGTTGAACTTTTGCTACTACAGTACAACGCCCTCTACAAAAAAATTCCCCTGTTGTTTTCCACAGAACCATTATGCATTAGCAGCATATGTGAGCATAATGCGGCATAATATGATAACTTTTAGCATAAAATAGCATAATTCTGCAATTTTTTCAGCAATGCGAAAAGCATAATTTCACGAAAATATTAGCATAATCCGTCAAGGCCTATTTTACAGGCAAAAAGTGCTCTTTTTTCAGTGAAGCATCGCTATGATACATGTTCAGATATGAACCCAAGCTGAGAAATGAATACGCACTCTTCCATTTTTTTTATGGGTCCACGAAAGGCAAAACAGGAAGCAAAGTTGAAAAACCCACTTTTTATAGCACTGTGGCAAGCTTCACCAACTTGTTGCCCCCCAAAAAGCGGCGTGCGGTGGGGGCGCCAAGGCCCATCGAGCACTCGGAAACTGTGATCGCATGCATGAGCAAACAGATTTTAGCACTTTTTCAGCTAGAAAAGCTCAAAAAGGGCGATATTCACCAAAAACGCAATAAAGGGCGAAAGAAACTGGCTTTTCCAAAAAGGGCGAAAAGGGGCGAAAAAAAGGGCGAGCACCTTTGGGAAAGGGCTACTGGCGGATTATGCTCGGAAAAGTAGCGTTTTGTGCTCGTATACTGCCGGTATTCTGCCCCATTCTGCTCGTATTCTGCCGGATTCTCACGTGCTTATGAACACAATGGAGCCGCAGGCGCCAGCAGCCCTCTCCGCACTTCGTAGCTGGTTCTCCAGAGTATCTGCTCCTTCTTCTGCACTTTTCTGCCGAATTCTACTCATTCTGCTCCTTTCTAAAATAACCCATATTCTGCTCGAAATTCTGCCGACATTATCGGACGACGAGACATAATCAAATGCGGCCATAAGGTATCAAAAAGGAACCATGGGCATGTACCAGTGAGTTCATGTGCTTGTGAGCTGTAAATAGGCGCCACCAGCCCTCTCCGCACTTCCTAGCTGGGTTCTGCAGAGTACATATCTGCTCCTTCTTCTGCACTTTTCTGCCGAATTCTGCTCCTTTTCTAAAATAACCCATATGCTGCTCGAAATTGTGCCGGCACTAGCGAGGTTTTGCATTCCGAATTTCGGTTCAGCGTTCTTCGGTCATTTGTCGAACATCAAAATGTCGAATTTTCGCACCAACGTTTGTTTTGCAAGTCGAAAATGATGTGTTTTCATTTCGTGAGCCCCAGCATCAGCAACGTCCTGTCCGGTGCTCCTTTTCTTGCTGATTCCAACGAACTACATGTAAGTTACTTTGATCGCCCAAAGAGTGGAGGGCCAAACCTGCCTCCTCAGTCGCCTCAGAAAAATCAACTCCGGGCCAAGTCAAATTTTATGCGTATCGCCATGGTCTTTTCAGCCACACAGATGACGGTGAGGACACTCTAGGCGAAAGACAGTAGACAGGTAGTGGAGAGGAGCAATCAGAGGTAGCTGACGATGCTGATGACTGATGTTGCCAAAGACGCCTGCGAAGCGATGCCGAAATAAGAAACATCTTTGAATAAATCACGCGCTAGCGCTCTTGTACAAGAAAATTCATCCGAAAGATATAAAATATTTTCGGCAAAGTGAGCTTTTTCCGAACAAACATGCCGAATCTTCGTGTGCCTTTTTGACCTCGCTCTCGCGTGCCGAATCTTTTTGCCGAATTTCGGAATGCAAAACCTCACTTTTGATGTTCGACAAATGACCGAAGAACGCTGTACCGAAATTCGGAATGCAAAACCTCACTATCCGCCAGTACAGGGCCTATTTTGAGGGACGCGAAAAGCACTACATGTAAGTGCGAATTAAAAGAGTACCTTTGGAGTTTGGGAAAGGGATATTATCGACTGGTCAATTTTTAGCCGAAAAGCTGGCCGATTGTTAGTTCTTGCACGTGATGGAGCGGTCATCGGACCAATCACTGTAGGCTTTTCACCATGACAGCGGACAGCATCGGTGCAGACCGTGAACTGGCTGCGCTGGATCGCTACTACTAGACGCAAGCCTTTTCACGCCTTTGGCCCTGTAGCTCGTGTAAAAACTATCAGAGTCTGATTCTCATTTCCGCTGTCTAGCATCTACTACGCCACGGTCTAGCGCGGCTGTGTAGATCTACTGCGTGTACGTGCGTAACAGACAGGCCTACAACTATGTATCATGATGTATCATGATGTATAGTGCAAGCAAAATTGCCCACCGTTGTGCGTGCATGTGAACAGCTAGTCCGACTCAGTCGGTCGATTTCTTGTCGGAGTCGGTGTGGGAGCGCCGGCCGGATAATCGGCCTAGTGTGAACCAGGCCTTAGGTATCGAAAATCAATGGGAGTCAATTACTAAGAGAGTGAAATTTTTGTACTCACAGTTTAATGTTAGTCTAGCGCGATGGAGCGAGACGCGCAGGCATTGATGCGAGAGCTGGGCCTCACCAATCAAGACATTGTCTTCTTCGGAGACATAGACGTGAGAACAACTCCCGAAATCGGTCGTGGATCAGATGCATCGGTGTATCGAGTGAACTGGCAGGGAATAGATATCGCCTTGAAAGTCCTGCATCCCATTTTGATTGAGCCTGGTAATCAAGACCGCGAGAGGAAAATCCGTTCATTCGGCCAAGAGATATTTCGTCTCAGTCGCATCCACCACCCTAATCTCTGCCAATTGCTGGGCATTGCACGAGTTGGGCAAAACGCTGCTCTAGCGTTGGAGTTGCTGACTTCGACATTGCAAGAGTTGAGTGTTGGTGAGGGTCGTGAGGATGGCTTGAAGCTGATCGGCTACCTCTGCGACACGTCGGCTGGTATCAGATACTTGCACGTTTGTGGTATTCTCCACCGCGACCTCGCACCGAAAAATGTGATGATCAAGAACGGAGTCGCGAAGGTATGCGATTTTGGTATGGCGAAATTCCTACGTTGGGAATTCCCTCATCACCAGCAGCAACAGGCGGCTCGAATGGACATGACCCGTTGCCCCGGAACGTTAGTGTTTATGTCACCGGAGGCCCTGGTCGAGCAACCAGACTATGATCGTCCACTGGATATCTTCTCATTCGGAGTTACGCTACTGGCTGTTATCACTGGTGTTATGCCTGGGATCGACCTGATCAACGCTCCGTCCGTTGTAATCGTGCGCGACGCCGCCAGTGGACGGGAAACGACGCAGGTGGTGGCGGAGACAAGACGGCGTGCTGCGTATCTTCGGCGACTCTCTGATGACCACCCACTGAAGCCGATGGCAATTCGCTGCCACTCCAATGAACCCAGCGAGCGTCCGACTGCAGAGGACGTACACGAGGAGATGAAGCGAGTGTTGCAGCTCTTCGCAGGTCTTTCGTCGGTAAGTTACCGTAAAATTCCGTTAATAAGCCCCGGGCGTATACTTTGCAGAGGGTCAAAAACCGGGCGTATATTTGGGCATGGGCGTTATTTCGGACGCAATCTGCAGAAGATCAATCTATCAGCAACCCACTAGTTTCAGTGAACCACCGTTCACACTGAGCGCGGTAAAGTTACATCAAACCACAGCTGGAAATTTGGTCGTAACCAAGAATGTGGCAATAAATTACAGATTTGATAGGTAAACCACTTGCTATGGTAAGTACAAGGCACAACAGGTACCGGCATGTATGCGAACGCACGCTCACGCGCTGGTCATTTTGAGTCCACTTTACGCCCTGGGCGTATTTCAGGCATGGGCGCTAAAACGGACTTGAAGTGTACACTGCCTAAAACTGGGCTTATTATCGGACATGGGCGATATTTAGGGTGGGCTTATTTACGGATTTTACGGTATTTGTTGCAGTGAAGGGCTTGAAAGCGATGACATCACAATTAAACAAATCAGGAAAAATATAATTTCCGGAGCCAGTCTGCCTTGAGAGTGCGATGTCATACCCATCCCGGAATCTTGACATTGCTGAATTTTGGATCCACAATTCCACAATACCACATAGGTCCAGCATTTTCTGCTTCCTTACACGTTTGGGTAGTTCTCCTCTAACAGGCGGGTGACACATCCGCTTGTAGTGACTAGGCTAGGCCCTCCCTGTCAGGGATCCTCTCCTGGTAGTGAAAAAACTACACCTGTGTGCAACACAAGGTCAAGGGGTCCACACTTCACATCCTATACTGCGCCATGGGCGGTGTAGATCCGAAAACCGGTATTTGTTAAGAAGGGTTGGGAGAGACTGGTGATAGAAATGGTGATGCGTTAATTCGCGGACTTCTTGGAATTTGAGCATGGCAGGGGAGAAGGCCCATCAAGCATTTTGCATCCTTTAAATTTTATTTTTCTCCACCAGACAGTTTCTGTTCCTGGGGTTCAAATTCTATGTCCTTAATCTGAGCATGTTTGAGTTACTCCATACAGAAGGTACTTGTGTAAAGTAGGTTACAACATGATGATCCTGACGCACACACGACATACACACTACTCTTCAAACTTTATGATATGTACTGGGTGAGCAGGCTGACTTAGTGACGGCGGGAATTGATATGTACTGGGTGAGCAGGCTGACTTTGTGACTTTATGATATGTACTGGGTGAGCAGGCTGACTTAGTGACTATATGATATGTACTGGGTGAGGAGGCTAACTTAGTGACGGCGCGAATTGCGGACCCCACAACAACTACCGTAAAGTCGTGGATAAAAGCCGGGTTTGCATACAAGCACATCGCGGATAGAAGCCTGAATTTCAAACGTGTCAAATGCATATAAGCCTCTCGCGCGTAGAAGCCTGGCTTCTATGCAAGCGCGGATCGGGTAGGTCAAGAGTGCATGCGCTATGTACGGTGCCGCCATACCAGTAGTCAGTGGTAGATCGATGGGTGTTGCACGTAGAAGCGTGCATACAAGCCTGGTGTAGTATCCCTGCCCGACCAATACGGAAGTAGTACGGAACCAACACGGAGCTTTGCCTGATGTATATTTAGTGTATCTCCGTATGTAAGCGTCCGCTGCATAAAGGCGGCTGCGCATTTCTGTTTTGATGGAGATTAGATATTATAGCAACGACAAAGCTAACTCGAAGAAGAAGTAGTCAACCTCTAGGTGTGCACCGGAGAGAAAGTCATTTATTTGCCGCTTCTTCTTTAACTTCAAATATATCCTAGGTGTGTACCTAAGAGAATAATAATAAAAGATAACTCGTGTTAATTGCACCGCGCCTACCACTCGGCTACCTGTTACAGTTGGCAAAAAATGTCAGTGGTGCATATAAGCATGGTTTGCATACAAGCCTGGTTTGCATACAAGCCTGGTTTGCATTAAAGCCTGATGCTGAAAGCGGCTTATACGCTTGTAACCCCGGTTGTTATCCGCGACTTTACGGTATGTTAGTGCATAGATAACAGAAATTTACACTCAGAGTGCAGAGTGCAGTATTCAATATGGAGAATGCAAGGGAATTGTAAGGCTAATATTAATGCAGAAATGTTGTGAGATAGAAGTCTGCATATTACCGTATTGGCTGGAATTAAGTGAGCAGTTTTTATGTGCGCTTGTTTTCCTGGCGCTTGTCTTGATCTGTTTCAATCAGAATCAGATCCTCTATCGTTGCCATAAAGCTCTCTCTCACTCTCTCTCTCTCTCTCTCTCTCTCTCTCTCTCTCTCTCTCTCTCTCTCTCTCTCTCTCTCTCTCTGTCTGTCTGTCTCTCTCTCGCTCTCCCTCCCCCACCCACTCTTGGTGCATCTAGGTGGCCATAAGTCGAGACCCTAGGTCGGCGGAGCTCCCTAAACCTCACCACCATGGCCACGTTTAAGGTTGTGCGTGCTTCCCCTAGCTACATCTCATGGCAGTGGTCTTTGTAAAATAACAAAATTAAATAAAAAAGAGAAAATCTGTGGGTGCACATCCAGTGCATTTGCAGATTTACGTGCTTCTCCTTCTAGGGGCGTATACATGGTACATGGTGTGTGTGCGTGCGTGCGTGCATGCGTGCGTGCATGTGTGTCTATGTGTGTGTGTGTGTGCGTGGATGTGTGTGTGTGTGTGCGCGCGTGCATGCATGCGCGCTCGCGCGCACGTGCGTGCGTGTGTGTGTTCATAACAGCCTCATCTTCCCAATGTACCACCCGCTGTTGTACGTCGACTGGACTCTATCTCTGAGCAGCTAACCCAGCAAGCTACGTCTATCACGTCACTCGCCACACGGAGTGATGCACTAGAGGAACAGCTTGCAGCAGTCATTACACAAAACCAGACCACGGCACAGCAGCTACCAGCTATCCAACAAGAAGTATCCAGCATACGCAATGAACAAACCACCACAAACAACCAAATCGAATCTTTGGCCGAACAGCTCAGGGATACGAACCATCGCCTTGCACAACAGACTGCAGCACTATCTAGCCAGCACACAGAGACTTCTGACCAAATCTCTGCATTGAACGACAACGTGTTGTCTATCTCTGGCCAACTGTCAAGACTGTCCTCTCCACCCCGTCAGGTATGGACCTTTATTCCCGGAAACCAACTACCAATCCTTAAAAAAATAACACTATCTAAAGTTTGTACATTCGCTTGACAAATCAACTTGTTTAACACCTAGATGTTACTTGTTCACCACTCAGTTGTGTACTCTGACTGATGACCATCGCAAGACAAACAATCCTAGAGACAATCAATTGTTCTTCGCTGTTGTTTGTACTAGTAGATGCATGCTACCATAGAATGACTGCGCACTTTATCTTAGTCGTTGCAAGTGAAGAAAAACTGTTGTCGCCCCGTCGACTCTTTCGAAAGTGTTGCCAGGAAGGAAAGTTCTTTCTCATGATCAGAAAACAATGTGAATGGTTATAGTCTCAAACTTTAGCCAGGATAATCATCGTTTTTGATTTACAACAATGTTTTGGGAAAGAAATGCTAGATTTCTGAACCACAAAACTGCTATTTACCCTGAAATAATTTTGTGAACCCATCATTCCGTTTACTGCGATCAGAAAGTGGTGCAGATTTCTTCCAATCACTTGAACAGCATACGGACTCTAACGATTATGCAATGAAATCTAAGCGTATCCCTTAGTGCTGGGAGGCAGTCATTATAGTAGATACAATGGTATGGGGTAGCAGTGTAGCATGACATTTATACAGAATATGTCAGCATAAACGGGAGGGCACATTGAACTTGTAGGGTAGATAAGATAAGAATATGATTCAGATCCTTGACGAAAATCATAATAGAATATGGGTCTGACGAAAGCGCCTTTATTTTTTTCAGGATCCTGGCCAGGCAAGAAATGGACCAGTGCATGCGAAAACGTGTCTTCGGGGAAACCGATTTCTTTCAGAATTTTGAGAAAATCGCTCGGAAAGAAGAGTTATATTTTTTTGTGGCTCGATCGCGGATCTTGTCGACATTCCTAATCGATCTCAAGACGAAAAGAGAAGTGACAAGCGATCGACTTGCATTGATCATCTTGGACGTGGCGGCACAGGAGGAGTTTGAAGTAGCACTTGAGAAAGGGCCTCTGAGTAGACACACTCGTGGCAGACGCCGAGCGGTACGTCGGTCGAGCTGTACCGCTCACGTGATTATCGTCGGCGAGTCCGAAGAGATCGGCAAAGTTTATTATTGAGGTTGAAGACGACAATTTATATGGCGAGTCGTGATTCGGAGGAGTCGGCAACTAGCAGCTATGCTGCTCACAGTGACTCTGACGAAGCCCCAGCTAAGCGTTCGCGAGGGAAAGACTCCTGCGTCGAGGTTGGAGGTGAGCCAAGTGCGTATGAATTAGGCGGAGATTCTGTGGACTCTGCAAGCGACATTGAGCAGGACGCGCTTCAGAGCATTGCCGCTGTGCACTCACTGATTCTTGAATGCTGTGGCTGCGTTCAGAACTACCGTTTCAGTAGCTTCACGTCGAGTGCAATCCTATCTCGGTGATGGAATCGAAGGACCTCGGTATTTTTTATATTGGTGTGCTGGCTGCGCTGCACGCCTGACGATCCTGTCGACGGTCGTGCATCAGTCGACAGCTTCCGCTATGGAATGCATGCGCATCACGTTTGGATAAACTGTGATGGAGCACATCGTGTGTCAAACTGCGTTCATGAAGCTCCATGTGGTTGGCAGAACATGACTGTGTGCAAGTGGACCGGCAAGGAGAACAATAGCTGTCATCTTGGTGCATATGGAAATTTGGCAATGTGCCTTGGAAAAAATATATTGCAGAAGTGGGAGACAGACAGCAGCAGTTCATTCTGAACAACAGCTTCTGGTTCAGCCTCCCGCTGTCTGCAGCACCAAGAGGGAGAGGTGAGAAATCTCCCCTAAACTTACCTGCATCTGTCGCCCACAAGTCTGTCCTTTCGGAACATGTCAAGCAGTCTGGTGAAGCGCAAACCTTGGGTTACCGCGTATTCCTGTATCTGTGAACGCGACGGATGGATGTGTGGAACAGGTGTGAGCTACTCCGGGATGATATTGCTCGTGGAGAGGATGAAAAGATGTCTGCAACGGAACCACTACGTGACCACGTTGTCTTTGCACAAAAAGGACGCGAATTCTTGTCAGCTCAACGCCGCAAGTACTTGCTGGACAATGTTGCTGGGTGTTGTCTGGAGAACAAGGCAGCCTTCATTGAATGTCTTGGCCGATACTAAAGGCTGATACGCAAAACTGTTGCTGCTTTCAGTGATACTGTAGATAATGCATTATACAAGGCATATTCTATGTTGGACAATGCCATAGAAATCATGGTCTCTATGTACTTTCAAATGTGATATCCAACTTTAGCTTCCACAGAGGTGTTCCCTAGACCCCTGTGATTGATTTTCAAGAAAAAATTCTTTTCCAAGAATTTGCCCTTAGACACGGTTGTTGCGAAACCACAAGTTCTCAAGAGTGAAAGGCCTTCTCACTTGTGACATTGTGTTCGTGTCAATGCAGTTGTATCCCGACTCCGCCGTACCGCTGATGTTTGCGACTTGGTATACGCTACAGGCGCTATGTGCGGTTTTGCTGTGTGCGCTGTAGTTGTATGTTGTATGTGTATGCTTTGCTCATATACGCTGTCATTTTCACGCTATAACTACCTGGTGGTTTTAGTGTTAGTTATTGTTAATTAGTCGATCGAAGTGAAATATACTGTCAAGAGTTCATAGTTGTCCTGGTGCCGTGTGGTCATTCGTTCCTGACTTATAGAGAATCAGAAGGGTTCACAACAACGGTAGTGCATGCACTAGCCCTTAATAATGAATGGCTGGCAGCTGGGGTTAAATGAGCACTTGCATGTTTGTTGATGTGTGTGTGTATTTCTGTATTTGTGTGCATGTCAACTGCAGGTATCTACTTCAAGACCTTTAGCTGCACAAGAAGAACTGTCAAATGATGCTCCTCCCATGGAATGTTTCAGTCCTCCACTAGCGGGAGTGAGTTGAAAGACATTTTTGCCATATATTATAAAGAAGAAGTAAAAACCAAAATGTTGGAATTCACTGGCTAGAAAAAACAAATCTTCAAATAGCTGTGCGAGGCGGAGTAGGCTGGATAGTGGCGGTCAATACTTCAGTCTTCCAAACTGTTGAATTGTGTAATTCCAGCACAAGAGGTTATGTCGTCTTGCGTAGTATTGCTGTTATCACAAAATGTGTGTGTGTGTGTGTGTATGTGTGCTTTTGTGTGTTTGTGTGTGTCTGCATCTGTGTCTGTGTGCGTATTTGCGTGCATGTCAACTGCAGGTATCTACTTCAAGACCTTTAGCTGCACAAGGAGAACTGTCAAATGCTCCTCCTCCCATGGCTTGTTTCAGTCCTCCACTAGCGGGAGTGAGTTGAAAGACATTTTTGCAATATATTATAAAGAAGAAGTAAAAACCAAAATGTTGGAATTCACTGGCTAGAAAAAACAAATCGTCAAATAGCTGCGCGAGGCGGAGTAGGCTGGATAGTGGCGGTCAATACTTCAGTCTTGCTCACTGTTGAATGCGTCAGGTGAAATTACTGGTCAGTCGGCGTCACGCTTTTTTTCACAAAAATTTGCGTTTCACCTGCTGGGAGAGTATGCGTGTACTCGAGTCTCATCCTGAGCACGTTTTTTTCTTCTTTTTTTCAGCTCCAGTATAGCTGTATTTTTCATTGCAAAGCCGTCCTCGATTGTTGTGTTCGTTGTTCAAACAAAGAGGACATTCAATCATGAAGGCAGAGGACATAGGAGCCTGATTGGAGTTTCTCGTGGCATAGGACGGCCACACAGAGACACTTTGGGATTTTCTGAATATAAAATACCGTACGCACGATGCTGAGATCAATTTGTGCGATATCAAATTGTTTGTGATCTACCACATCGAGCAGAACGGGATCCAAACACAAGCTTAAGCTTACCGACGGTTAGGCTGCCGACCTGGCTGGACAAATGATCCCTGGCTTCACCAGACGCCAGACGTCGGACACCATGTCCTTTGCCGCGACGTCCATCTCCAAAAAGAACTCCATCTTCGTCGTGAAAAGGCTTGAAATACTCAATATTCAACCGAGATTCGCGGCCTCACACTTTCTCAGATCGAAGTGGACATTCAATCATGAAGGCAGAGAACATAGGAGCCTGATTGGAGTTTCTCGTGGCATAGGACGGCCACACAGAGACACTTTGGGATTTTCTGAATATAAAATACCGTACGCACGATGCTGAGATCAATTTGTGCGATATCAAATTGTTTGTGATCTACCACATCGAGCAGAACGGGATCCAAACACAAGCTTAAGCTTACCGACGGTTAGGCTGCCGACCTGGCTGGACAAATGATCCCTGGCTTCACCAGACGCCAGACGTCGGACACCATGTCCTTTGCCGCGACGTCCATCTCCAAAAAGAACTGCATCTTCGTCGTGAAAAGACTTGAAATACTCAAGATTCAACCGAGATTCGCGGTCTCACCCTTTCTCAGATCGAATCATTTTTTGTTGTAGCAGTTGCAGGGCAGATCCCCGCCACTACTTCAACAGGCAATGGCTCCAAAGCATGCCTGGAACAAGCCATATCGAGGTTGCAAGCCACCCCTCTCAGCACTTTTTTTGAAGAAATTCGAAATTTCAATGGTGGAAGATATACTATGAAGAGAATTTCAAAAAGTATATTTCGCGGAGCGATCGCTCAACCTACGTCATTCAAACTTTGCAGGATGGTTCAGACGTACATGCTAGGCATGGAACCACAGAAGATGATATCATAGCTGACACACAGAGTCACACACACAGCAGATTCGTGTGCACAGATACTAAATTAGTAGACGTCGTCATCTTCTTCCCGCTGATCTCAAATGTACGATGACGTGCTATTTCGCCTGACGGGTGTAAATCCAGGACAAGAGGTTATGTCGTCTTGCGTAGTATTACTGTTATCACAAAAGGTGTGTGTGTGTGTGTGTGTGTGTGTGTGTGTGTGTGTGTGTGTGTGTGTGTGTGTGTGTTATCACACATCCACTCTGATTTAGCCACTCGCACTAGTAGCAAGTATTACCTTCACGGGGGCAGGGGTAACTGCAGTTGGATCCCGGGACGGATACCCTGATGCCGTCAATCCTTTTTCTGGACCTTGTCCTCACCCACTTACTGAGGTGTGGTGAGCCCATAAGTGGGATCATTTTCAAGTCCACCCAGAGTTTTGGGGATTTCAGGGGGTGTCGGCCGTTGGGCGGTTCAATAACCAATTGAGTCATCTTTCCAAGATTCCTTTTGAGTCTCTCTCCCCTCTCCCGGGGGGACTCACGTGACCAGTTTTGGCAGTGAGCAACAAGTACAGTACAGTACAGTGTGTGTGTGTTTGTGTGTGTGTGTGTGTGTTTGTGTGGGTTTGTGAGTGTGTTTGTGTGTGTGTGCCAGCTAGTTCGGTTGGTGGGTACACCTATGCCTGATTGTGTTGGGTCTGTTGCCAACGGGCTCGGCTACTTGAAGGTGTATTGTTGTACCTGCCACCTTTGTTGGTTTCAGGGTTCATATACTTTCTATTTGAAGTATACATACCTGTTAACCATGGACTACTTCTGGCTAGATTAACTCTTGTGTAATCAATGGTGCTAGTGAAGCTTACATCAGATCCACTCTGATTTAGCTACCCACACTAGTAGCAAGTATTACCTTCGCTGGGGGCAGGGGTAACTGCAGTTTGATCCCTGGACGGATACCCTGATGCCGTCAATCCTTTTTCTGCACCTTGTCCTCACCCACTTACTGAGGTGTGGTAAGCCCATAAGTGGGATCATTTTCAAGTCCATCCAGAGTTTTGGGGATTTCAGGGGGTGTCGGCCGTTGGGCAGTTCAATAGCCAATTGAGTCATCTTTCCAAGATTCCCTTTGAGTCTCTCTCCCCTCTCCCGGGGAGACCCACGTGACCAGTTTTGGCAGTGAGCAACAAGTATAAGTGTGTGTGTGTGTGTTTGTGTTTGTGTGTGTCTGTGTGCGTATTTGTGTGCATGTCAACTGCAGGTATCTACTTCAAGACCTTTAGCTGCACAAGGAGAACTGTCAAATGCTCCTCCTCCCATGGCTTGTTTCAGTCCTCCACTAGCGGGAGTGAGTTGAAAGATATTTTTGCCATATATTGTAAAGAAAAAGTAAAAACCAAAATGTTGGAATTCACAGGCTAGAAAAAACAAATCTTCAAATAGCTGTGCGAGGCGGAGTAGGCTGGATAGTGGCGGTCAATACTTCAGTCTTGCTAACTGTTGAATGGTGTAAATCCAGGACAAGAGGTTATGTTGTCTTGCGTAGTATTGCCGTTATCACAAAGGATTGTGTGTGTGTGTTTGTGTTTGTGTGTGTTTGTGTGTGTGTGTTTGTGTTTGTGTGTGTTTGTGTGTGTGTGTGTGTTTGTGTGTGTTTGTGTGTGTGTGTGTTTGTTGTGTGTGTGCCAGCTAGTTCGGTTGGTGGGTACACTTATGCCTGATTGTGTTGGGTCTGTTGCCAACGAGCTCGGCTACTTGAAGGTGTAATGTTGTACCTGCCACCTTTGTTGGTTTCAGGGTTCATATACTTTCAATTTGAAGTATACATACCTGTTAACCATGAACTGCTTCTGGCTAGATTAACTCTTGCGTAATCAATGGTGCTAGTGAAGCTTACATCAGATCCACTCTGATTTAGCCACCCACACTAGTAGCAAGTATTACCTTCACTGGGGGCAGGGGTAACTGCAGTTGGATCCCTGGACGGATACCCTGATGCCGTCAATCCTTTTTCTGCACCTTGTCCTCACCCACTTACTGAGGTGTGGTGAGCCCATAAGTGGGATCATTTTCAAGTCCATCCAGAGTTTTGGGGATTTCAGGGGGTGTCGGCCGTTGGGCGGTTCAATAGCCAATTGAGTCATCTTTCCAAGATTCCCTTTGAGTCTCTCTCCCCTCTCCCGGGGAGACTCACGTGACCAGTTTTGGCAGTGAGCAACAAGTACAAGTGTGTGTGTGTGTGTGTGTGTGTGTGTGTGTTTGTGTGTGTGTGTGTTTGTGTCTGTATTTGTGTCTGTGTGCGTATTTGTGTGCATGTCAACTGCAGGTATCTACTTCAAGACCTTTAGCTGCACAAGGAGAACTGTCAAATGCTCCTCCTCCCATGGCTTGTTTCAGTCCTCCACTAGCGGGAGTGAGTTGAAAGATATTTTTGCCATATATTGTAAAGAAGAAGTAAAAACCAAAATGTTGGAATTCACTGGCTAGAAAAAACAAATCTTCAAATAGCTGTGCGAGGCGGAGTAGGCTGGATAGTGGCGGTCAATACTTCAGTCTTGCTAACTGTTGAATGGTGTAAATCCAGGACAAGAGGTTATGTTGTCTTGCGTAGTATTGCTGTTATCACAAAGGATCGTGTGTGTGTGTGTTTGTGTTTGTGTGTGTTTGTGTGTGTGTGTTATCACACATCCACTCTGATTTAGCCACTCGCACTAGTAGCAAGTATTACCTTCACGGGGGGCAGGAGTAACTGCAGTTGGATCCCGGGACGGATACCCTGATGCCGTCAATCCTTTTTCTGCACCTTGTCCTCACCCACTTACTGAGGTGTGGTGAGCCCATAAGTGGGATCATTTTCAAGTCCATCCAGAGTTTTGGGGATTTCAGGGGGTGTCGGCCGTTGCGCGGTTCAATAACCAATTGAGTCATCTTTCCAAGATTCCTTTTGAGTCTCTCTCCCCTCTCCCGAGGAGACCCACGTGACCAGTTTAGGCAGTGAGCAACAAGTACAAGTGTGTGTGTGTGTTTGTGTTTGTCTGTGTCTGTGTGCGTATTTGTGTGCATGTCAACTGCAGGTATCTACTTCAAGACCTTTAGCTGCACAAGGAGAACTGTCAAATGCTGCTCCTCCCATGGGTTGTTTCAGTCCTCCACTAGCGGGAGTGAGTTGAAAGATATTTTTGCCATATATTGTAAAGAAGAAGTAAAAACCAAAATGTTGGAATTCACTGGCTAGAAAAAACAAATCTTCAAATAGCTGTGCGAGGCGGAGTAGGCTGGATAGTGGCGGTCAATACTTCAGTCTTGCTAACTGTTGAATGGTGTAAATCCAGGACAAGAGGTTATGTTGTCTTGCGTAGTATTGCTGTTATCACAAAGGATTGTGTGTGTGTGTTTGTGTTTGTGTGTGTTTGTGTGTGTGTGTTATCACACATCCACTCTGATTTAGCCACTCGCACTAGTAGCAAGTATTACCTTCACGGGGGGCAGGAGTAACTGCAGTTGGATCCCGGGACGGATACCCTGATGCCGTCAATCCTTTTTCTGCACCTTGTCTTCACCCACTTACTGAGGTGTGGTGAGCCCATAAGTGGGATCATTTTCAAGTCCATCCAGAGTTTTGGGGATTTCAGGGGGTGTCGGCCGTTGCGCGGTTCAATAACCAATTGAGTCATCTTTCCAAGATTCCTTTTGAGTCTCTCTCCCCTCTCCCGGGGAGACTCACGTGACCAGTTTTGACAGTGAGCAACAAGTACAGTACAGTACAGTGTGTGTGTGTGTGTGTGTGTGTGTGTGTGTGTTTGTGTGTGTTTGTGTGTGTGTGTGTGTGTGTGTGTGTGTGTGTGTGTGTTTGATGAAATCTGTCAGAGGGAAGAGAGGGAGAGGGAGACGTTGCCTGCTGTGTTTGGGGGGGGGGGGGGGGATGAAATCTGTCAGAGAGATGAGAGGGAGAGGGAGACGTTGCCTGCTGTGTTTGGGCTCATGGAACGTGAGATCCTTGGTGGAGCGGGACGGCGACATCGACACTGCTTGTGTTTCTGGACGCGTCGTGGAAGACAAAAAAATTTACCGAGTTATTTCTGAACTGAAAAGGCTGAAAGTGGCGGCGGCAGGCCTGCAGGAAACCCACTGGTTTGGACAAAATATCTACGCTGTCAACGGATTTACTGTGATCTGTTCGGGCCGCACCACTCCTGGTGAAGCGGATAATCGACGTCGAGGTGAGGGAGTTGCTCTTGTTTTGAATCGTGATACAACTTCGGCGTGGAGGGCTGGCGGCTGCGTATGGAACGCGGTGAGTTCTCGGATTGTGAGTGTACGTTTGAAGTACTGTGCAGCTGATGGACCGGATGTTTGGCTCACTCTGGTCAGCGTTTATGCTCCAACGTTTGCTGCGTCGCGGGCATGCAAGGAACTATTTTATGACGGTCTACAACGCACTCTGTACAATGTACCCCAGACTGACCATTGTGTAATGCTTGGCGATTTCAATGCTCGAGTTGGATCTAGTGAGCGGGGTGATGAGTGGTCCACTGTACGTGGTTCGCATGGATTTGGTGCACTGAACTCTTCAGGAGCTGACCTGCTATCATTTGCTGCATTCAATCAGTTGAGTATTTGTAACACCTGGTTCCCCAAGCGAGACCTCTTCAAGCGGACTTGGCAGCACCCAGGCACTTTGAACTGGCACTGTATCGACTACATTCTAGTGCGCCAGGAGGACCGCCGTTGGTGTATGGACACTGCGGTCGCGCGCAGTGCTGAGTGTGGAAGTGACCACCAACTCCTCTGTTTAACTTTTGCACTCCCGTGTGGACGATTAGTTCCGGAGCGCGACCAGGCAAATGTGCGGCGCCGGCGTTATGATGTTGACCAGCTGCGGGTGCGCACCTCGGACCCGGACTCACCTTCGCCTGCAGAAAGGTACCAAGCTACCATTGCAACCGAGCTTGTAGATACATGGCAAGAACAGCACGACATAGATCAGAAATGGTCCAACGTCAAGGCGGCTATCGACAAGTCTGCTGCGTCTGTCTTGGGCTTCTCCCGGCGTCGCCAACCAGACTGGTTTTGGGAGGCAGAGTCAGCCATCCAGCCATTGCTAGATGAACGGAATCGGTGCTATACCGACTGGCTATGTAGTGGCCAGAGCCGCGAATGCTCGCACTACACAGCGTTTAAGGTGGCTAGATCCAGGGCGCGTGCTTCCATATCCTCGGCTAGGGTACACTGGATAAAGGCAAAGGCACAGGCGACCACAGAGTCGAGATTCAATGGAGCGGTCGTATGGAAGTGCATCCATGACCTCCAGTCTTGTACCCGGGGCCTCGCCCCTGTGCGCACTTCCGCCGTGCTGGATGAGAACGGTAACATCTGCAGTTCAGCAGAGGAGCAGAGCCACCGGTGGGGAAGACACTTTGATGGTGTTCTCAACGTGGCAAGTGCATGGATTCGCAATGCCCTGGACGACATCCCACAGCGACAGGAGGCTGATCATCTTGCTGAGGCGCCGACTCTCCGTGAAGTCAGCCGCGCTATCTCCCGCCTACAGAATGGCAAGTCCGCTGGAGCCTCTGGCATCCTCCCTGAGATGCTGAAGAGGGGTGGCCCTGACCTCACCGCCAAGCTTGTGGAGCTGTTTGGCGATGTGTGGCGTGCTGGGGTGGTCCCGCAGGAGTGGGTGGACGCCACGTTGGTCCCCATCCCTAAGAAAGGGGATTTATCTCGCTGTGATAATTGCAGGGTATCTCACTGCTGGATGTTGTGGGCAAGGTTCTGGCGAGCGTCATCCAGACTCGTCTCCAGTCCGTGGCTGCGGATTTCTCCCAGAGTCTCAGTGTGGCTTCAGGCGTGGCCGATCTTGTACAGATATGGTTTTCAGTGTTCGGCAGTTCCTCGAGAAGACCATTGAGCACGACTGCAAAGGCTTCTTTGTATTTATAGACCTCAAGAAAGCCTATGATTCCGTGCCTCGGGATTGCCTGTGGGAAGTCTTATCCCGAGCGGGTATCCCTGCTCCAATGCTTGCCGTGATCCGTTCCTTTCACACTGACATGTCGGCGGTGGTTCGGGTAGAGAACACGACAACTGACCCTATCCGGGTCACGAATGGTCTCCGTCAGGGGTGCACCATGGCACCTGTGCTGTTTAACATCTTCATGTGGGCGGTGGTGACTGTGTGGCAGCGACGAGTCCGAGATGTACCCGGTGTTGGTTTTGAGTTCCGGCATTGTGATGGTGACAATAACCTTTACCGCAAGCCTACCAGGACGGATCCGGTTGCCATTGCCACTGAGTCACAGTTTGCAGACGACTGAGCACTTTTCGCGACGACTCGTGCAGGGGCGGAGACGGCACTTGCAGTGTTTGACACGACCGCAGCTAAGTTTGGGCTTAAAGTAAGCGCTACCAAGACACAGTTCTTGGTTGCAGGTAGGGATGTTTCGCCTGGGGACTGCGCTCCAATCGAGCTAGCTGGCACGGTCATCGAGTGTGTTTCGGAGTTCCGGTATCTGGGATCTCTCATTCATCGCGGTGGCCGGTCGACACAGGACATCACTGCTCGGATTGCGCATGCCTCTCGTGCTTGTGGCGCCTTGCAAGGAACCATCTTCAGCAATCCTGACCTTGATTTGCATATCAAGAGGTGTGTGTTTAATGCATGTGTGCTGTCGCTCCTCCTCTATGGGTCAGAGTGTTGGACACCATTGCAACACGATCTCCAACGTTTGTCAGTCTTTCATATGCGGTGCATCCGTTCCATCCTGGGTGTGTCCCGCAGAGATTGCTGGAATAATCACACGACCAACGCCCAACTGCTGGAGATGTGGGGTGACTCTGATACCATCTGCGTGAAGGTCGCACAGCGTCGCCTAGAGTGGCTGGGCCATGTTGCCCGAATGGACAGTAGCCGGATGCCGAGACAGATCCTGTTTGGCTCACTTCTCACACGTCGCCTAGCACATGGCCCTCGCAAGCGCTGGAAGGATTGCGTTGTCTCCGACCTAAGAGTTCGTGGCCTCACCAAGGAATGGTACCCTATCGCCTGTGAGTCCCGCGCTGACTGGCGGACTATGTACGCCGAGCCTGTGGAGAATGTGCCTCAGCCTGACCCAGTGGTATGTGCGGATTGCAATCGGTCATTCTCGCGCCCTTGAGATCGTGCTCACCACAAATGTGTGGTTGAGCGGGCAAAGCCGATCGCTGAGCAGCGAGGGGCTTGCCACTGTGGAGATTGTGGGCGTTGGTTTCGCAGCAAGGGTGGTTTAGCTGTTCACCGCTGTTCCGCACCTCAGCCTCAGCCTCCCGAGCCCCGGCAAGTCTATGTGCAGGATGCCTGCTGTGCTGCGCACTGTGCCTTGTGTGCCCGCTGCTTTCGGTCTGTGCAAGGCCGCGGTCGTCACCGGTGCTCGAGGACTGGCCCGCGCCCGACTGTCCAGCAGCGTAATTCGTTCAGCCATGTATGCGTGTGTTCTCACCGGTTCCGTTTGCCCCACCATCTCCGGCGTCATCAGGCTGCGTGCTCCATCTTCCTCTCTGATGCCCCTCCGGGGCCCATGTGACCCCTGTGGCAGTGGCTCTACAGGACAGGACAGGTGTGTGTTTGTGTGTGTTTGTGTGTGTGTTTGTGTGTGTGTGCCAGCTAGTTCGGTTGGTGGGTACACTTATGCCTGATTGTGTTGGGTCTGTTGCCAACGGGCTCGGCTACTTGAAGGTGTATTGTTGTACCTGCCACCATTGTTGGTTTCAGGGTTCATATACTTTCTATTTGAAGTATACATACCTGTTAACCATGGACTGCTTCTGGCTAGATTAACTCTTGTGTAATCAATGGTGCTAGTGAAGCTTACATCAGATCCACTCTGATTTAGCTACCCACACTAGTAGCAAGTATTACCTTCGCTGGGGGCAGGGGTAACTGCAGTTTGATCCCTGGACGGATACCCTGATGCCGTCAATCCTTTTTCTGCACCTTGTCCTCACCCACTTACTGAGGTGTGGTGAGCCCATAAGTGGGATCATTTTCAAGTCCATCCAGAGTTTTGGGGATTTCAGGGGGTGTCGGCCGTTGGGCGGTTCAATAGCCAATTGAGTCATCTTTCCAAGATTCCTTTTGAGTCTCTCTCCCCTCTCCCGGGGAGACCCACGTGACCAGTTTAGGCAGTGAGCAACAAGTACAAGTGTGTGTGTGTTTGTCTGTGTCTGTGTGCGTATTTGTGTGCATGTCAACTGCAGGTATCTACTTCAAGACCTTTAGCTGCACAAGGAGAACTGTCAAATGCTGCTCCTCCCATGGGTTGTTTCAGTCCTCCACTAGCGGGAGTGAGTTGAAAGACATTTTTGCCATACATTATAAAGAAGAAGTAAAAACCAAAATGTTGCAATTCACTGGCTAGAAAATACAAATCTTCAAATAGCTGTGCGAGGCGGAGTAGGCTGGATAGTGGCGGTCAATACTTCAGTCTTGCTAACTGTTGAATGGTGTAAATCCAGGACAAGAGGTTATGTTGTCTTGCGTAGTATTGCTGTTATCACAAAGGATTGTGGGTGTAAACAGTTTCCTCTGAGACAAAAATGCGATAATACTCATAAAAAGGACACACTTCAGGCTCATTACAAACATCTTGAAAGTTTTTG